CCGCCAGTTGCTCAAGTGTGGATAGAGTGTTATTCCGTGCATTGCTGATCGTTTTCTTCAGATCTTTCCGTGTGTAGGTATGAGATGAATGGCGCATATCTTCTGGCACTTGGGCCATATGGAGGGACATGAAGAGGAAGGAAAAGTGTCGATCGGATATCGTGCCACTGGCAAATTCCTTCAGTTTTGTCTGCCACCTCTGCAGACGAAGCCCCGACTGCGGTGCCCCAGGGACACGTGTGCAGGAATTGGCGTGTTTCTGCAGCCTCAACAGGCACGGATTAGGGTTGGACGGGCGCCTGGATAGCGTGATCTTGGAGAGGATGGAGGAATGGACTTGACGGAGCGAGGAAAATGGTGAGTCGATAAAGGTCAAAGTGAGGCGAACGGCTGTCAAGGTGCGAAGGGGAGGCGGCGGCTGTGATTGGCTGGCGGCTGACTTTGCCTGCGCTGATTGGCTCACTGACACCAGGGCGTGGAAGACTTCAGCCATTGCAAGGCAACCATTAGTCGAAGGGTTGCAGGACAAGTTGGATTGGAACTCTGACTCTAAGCATCAAGACGCTCGGAGAACCAATCTCCTCTGCCGTATCACTACGCAGAGGTCATTGGCCGCGGCGACTCTGCCCCGAACCCCTCTCTTCCGAAGCCTTATATCTCCTTCGAGGCTCTCACCATCGACTGTATTCTGGTCTCTATCATGGCAGCAACTTCACAATCTCAATCTCCGTAGGTCAGGTGGCCTAAGTATCGAGCTCACAGCTTTTACCAGCTCCGGTCGTCCCATATCTATACGTTTGTGTCAGGTTGACACCACTCCAACAACCGCCCTCCTCATAACCCAAATGCCTCAACCAACAAGTCCACCCAGAGATTACTGGATATCAGGCTATGGCCTGTCTCGACATATTGTTCTTCGACAGTTGCAATACTTCCTCGGACCCTCTGCCACCGTGAGGCCATATTCATATCGTGTATGAGGACCTCTTCCACCCGTGACAGGTCACAAGCTGACGGGAGCCTAGGGCCGGGAAGGATTCCTCATCAATGGTCCCGAGCTGACCAAGGTGAGCTGGGTCGCCACATTCACGGGGTACAAGAAGCTTACAGCAGGTCCCAGGAGCAAATAGAAGACCTCAAACGACAGTCGGAGCAATATGAAAGGCAACAAACAATGCGCATGTCCAACAGGGTCAGCAGTGGCACCGAGGACGAGGACTGCGACATCAACGAAATTGTCACCATCAATTCGAGTCGGAGGCACAACCTCGCACATGCGTCTGCGTCCCATTACAAGCGTCCCCGGTGACCATTCGTCACAATGGGCGGGAGCAGCATCTTGCTGCAAAAAGTTCTTCATCAGAAAAGCCCACATGACCTCTTAAGTCACCCAACATGTTCGGCTCCCCAAGGAAAAGCCGAGAGGCCCGCTGCTGGTCGGCTGGTCTGCCGGATGTCACGAGGACCACACATTGGTCCAGTCAGAGGTTCCAAGTCATGCATTGAGAAGCTGCTGTGCTGCGTGCCTGGACGAACGAAGCACTCTAGATGAGGACTGGGGACATGGCAGGTTGCAGATTTTCGAGCATGGAGGAACGGAAATCGGATTCGTCAGAGACTTGCAGGTCGCTTAGCCTTTTGGGAAGCTTTGTATGTATATGCGGATACGGTGGAACTAGGGATTCGTGGCAACTCTAGGTGTTTAGCTCTTGCGTCGCAGAAATGCCAAATGCCCTCGGTTCATTTGGCGCTGCAGAACCCAGTGTGGAGCGTTCGATTCTCAGGGGTACGCAGCACTGGCGATTGCTGTGAGTCAAGTAAGAAAACCGGGGTTGTGGTGGAGGCTGTTTAGCGGTGCGACAAAACACAGCACCTTGCGTCGAGAGATGCACCTCAAGATCCTCTGTAGGTTGTATAGGTCCACGGACCGACCAATACGGGCACATGGTAATGCCGCTCGCCCTTTTTAACATAGAATTTGACTTCGACCTCGGGCCAAAAGCTCTCGACGCCCTTCTCTTCATACCATGGACCGACCTCGAACTTGATACTCCAAGCGATTCGCTCTCCGTGGCTGTACCCCTCCAGAACATCCGACACACTCCTGCCGGCAGATTTCTCCCACTCTTTGACGCGTCCGTCTTCATTTGTAACGGCAGCGAAGCTCACTGCAGGTTGGGAAGATGTGTTATTGTTGGACAACAGCAGGGTCAATGTGGCTTTGAGGCCGGCCGCAGGCGTCCCAGACAGCGTGTTGAGGACATGGCAGGTGACCGGAGAGGTCATTGTGCAGCACTGAGTGTGGGATTGTACAGTATGTTGCGCTGCAGAGTCTCAATGGTGCAAAGAGATGAATAAATATTTTGACACTGAGTTCCAAGTCGGCCGGAGGAGGCCGACGACGTCAAGACGAAAGAAGAAAGTTGCAGCCACCCAGCGGCTGGTCTAAAAGTTTCCCTGCATCTCATCGTTATCGGTGGAGCAGCTACGGTCGAGCGTTGTTTATCGGACAGATGTATGGAGGAGTATTTAGCACCAGAGGTATCAATTGTCTCAACATACCGAGTAGACATGTGAAGAAACCTTGGTTCTTCGCTGTGTCCTAATCACTATATCTCTGTCTCATCTTCGTCTTATTAAACTTCCTGATATCTTCCCTCTGCCGCAAAAGGGAACAGATCTCACCCGCCAAGGCAAGAACTTGGCCATCCGCTACTCACAAACGTCCTCATGCTGTCCACATGTGCCTGTATATCGCGAGACCATTACGAATCACCCTCGCCACTGTAGACCTTCACCGACATTGGTGAAGACTCGGCGACCGGATGATCACCACCGTGATTGATGCACAGCCTCATGCAGTGAAGAAGACGGCGTATGGATGCCTGACAAGCGCTTGTTCTTCATGGTGGCCGTGAGCTTTGGCCATATCAATATCGGCCAATTGACCGAACGACTAGGATGAGATGATTGGATCCCTCAAGCCCATGCGCCTTGCTTACCTAGTCTTGCTAGTGCAGATTCGCCTAACACAAGACTTCATACGAGTAAAGAAGGGCTTGTGACTTGTACTCGGAAGTCTCCCTGAAACGCTTTCACGGTCAGGATGCTGACATGAAGACAAACCATTTTCACCGCTTTGTGTCAGACTGCGATGTAACACAGGCACCAACGGGCCAAATTGACTTTCCTTTCTGCAAATTCCTATCAGTTCTCTACAACAATATTCGATATGCTCGACCGTAGCGCGACGAGGTTGCGAAGCACGTGAACGACTCACTACTCGATTGGGTGCGTGTGGCGTTATGCAGATACGCAGAGTGAGACGCACCACTACTCTGGATTCACCACGCGTTTCCGCCCTCTGAATATTGGCAACAGGATCCCGGCACCAGCCTCTGTTTAGTCTAAGCTTTGCACTTTCCTTTTCACGTCGAGCATGGGAAGCCTGAAGGCGGGAAGAAGGACAAAAGAGGCAATTGGTACGGTTTATGGCCTCTATATCCCTGCTGACATGATACGCGCCGAGGCCTCCCTCCCCACAGCCTGGTCATAATACCGCCCCAGGAGGCAAATCAGCTTGTGGAGTGCAGACGCTTCGATGAGGGAGGCTTTGGCCGGTAATGAAGCGAAGCGGGCTATATAAGAGGAAGGTGGGTGTATGTGTGTGTGTGCTATGGGTTTCCTTGAGCTGCCTCACTCTGTGTCCCTTCTCTCGTTCAACATCATCTATATCATAGTCCTCCCCCGCTCCACGATCGACAAAGTAAACGACCCTCGACCGTCTTTTAGATACTCGGCACAACATGACGAACCTCTCCGCCGCGACCGCGACCAACCCAACCAACCTCCCACCGCGCTATGAGATTCGAAGACTGACGGACGAGCACATCGAATGGGCCAAGGCGCTGGTCGTGCACACGAACCTGTTCTACTCGCCCGTGTGGCCGGTGTGCTACCCGGAAGCCAAGACGGAGCGGCTGTACCGTAGCTACCACGCGGCCGACTACCTGGTGCGGCACCAGATCGGGTCGGGCCACAGCTTCGGCGTCTTCGACCTCGAGTACCGGTTCAGGCGGGAGGAGTCCAAGCCCACGGGGGGCAAGCTGTACTGGGAGCTCAAGGACACGACACTCGACGCGGACCAGCTAGCGGAGCAGATGGACTTCCCGCTCGTCAGCATCGCCTTGGCGTACGACGGCTTCCACCCCCTGGACGGGGAGCAGATCGGGCCTCTGGTCGCCTGTCTCCCCCTCTTCGGGACCTTCTACCACGTCCTCGAGCTCCGCGACCCTCGCGACCCGACCAGCTGGCAGCCCACGGGCGAGAAGCAGGTTCTCATGCGCAACGCGACGTGCACTCGCCACGACGCCGAGGGCAAAGGACTGATGAAGGCCCTCGCGCAGTTCTTGATGCGCTATGCCGCCGAGCAAGGCTTCCGGGGCATCCAGATCGAATGCTTCGCCGACGCCGTCACAAAGGTCTGGTCGCAGCCCCCTCCTCCCTTCAAGGGGACCATCGTCAGCGAATTCAACACCTACGACTACGAGGAAGAGGTCGAGGGCGAGGACGGTGTCAAAAAGACCATCAAGCCGTTTGGCGACCTCAAACAGAGAGCAACAAAGGTCTATTGCGACCTGAAAGCGTGAACATGGGCATGCAAACCCCACGCTACCTTCACACGCACTTGCAAGTGTAGCGGTCCTGGCGGAGTGAGAAGAGCTCTAGGTAGGCCTGAGGGAGGAATGGACAGAGCTCAAAGATAGAGCATGAAGTCTTTATCATTGTAGGCCATGGCCATTTCTGGGATGCAGAGGTCTGTTACCATGGTAGCTGAGCAGACACTAGCCAGACCTTCCTCTAGCCTTCCCTATTTCTCAACACTATGATACAGAGACGCATCCCTAGACCTGCAATACACAGTTTCAAGTTTGCTGTCTCTTCATCCACTACCACCCTCCCCCCTCCATCTTTCCCTTTCCCAGTCGCTCACTCTGTACTCACTCCGTAAAGACCTTTCCTGCTTCCACAACGTCGAAACACTTGACGGTATGTTCCCAGACCTTGATCCTCGCATCCTCCCTATTGATCTTCTGGTATGCCTTGACGTTGAAATTACTCTCGCCATTCCAGGTGAGCGAATACACGCCACTGCCTGGCGTCCCTGCTGTTCCTGTGATGACTCCCTCCGCCATCGTCGTCGTCGTCTGAGAAGTGTCATGAGCGGCGATCGGTGATGCTTGAGCCGGGTGTGCCGGGTATAGATCCGAGGCTAGCGACAACATGCGCTCGCCGCACTCGGCCGGCGGCACGGTCAACAGACGCCCGAACAGGGGGATGACGACCCAGTGGAACAGGATCCTGAACCACATGGGTAGTTCTGTGCTGTGGAAGCCCGGGCCGACGACGATGCCAGGAAAGATGTGGACCAAGCTTAGTTTCCCCGGGTGGCGCTGGGCCAGCTCCTCCATGAACAGCGTGTGCATGTAGCACATGTGCGATCGCGCCCGCGTGTACTTGTACCGTGTCGTGTCGCGGAGGGACAGATCGTCCAAGTCCAGGTCCCCTTCCATCCCCGCGGCGTAAACCGACACCACCGTGGCGGTGGGGAGACGGGAGTTGAGGAGGAGTGGCACTAACTTGGTGATGATCCTCATGCGGGAATAGTACATGAGCGACATGGTCACGTCGATGCCCTCTTTCGTATCTTTTTAATTTTGTGGTACTGTCAGCACAACTCGCGCGGCCACGGAAAGGAGGGGGCTTGTGTTTCTCCGCCGGCAATGTGCAGAGCATACCTTTGCGCGGAAGAAAAGGCATTCCCCCCTGAGATACCATGAGGTAGTCGACCCGGGAATCTTCTTGACCCTCGTCTTTCTCCAGACGGATGATCTCGGCGCAAACGTGGTCGACGTCGCCAAGCAGAGAAAGGTCTTGGGCTTGGATGAACTTGAATTGGCCCTGTGGGCAGATTCCACGACACTCGACAAGCATGTCTTCGGCCGCTTGGGCGTTTCTCCCCACCACGTATGCCCGGAGCCCTTTACCGCCCTGAGCTTCGGCGGCAGCCAGTGCACGCAACGTCACTTGTCCGATACCTCCTGTACCCCCGAAGAAAACAGCCACTAGAGGCTGACTCTGGATCAGGGCTTTGCCCAAGGCGCGGGCCGTGTCCAATTTGACCATGGTGACAGATGAAACCAGGGAAAACAGGTCGAGACGAGGAACGTGAAAGACCCTCGAAGCTTTGCGAAGGGAGTCCCTTTTCTAGGAAGAATATTTGCCACAGACATGAAGTATGGACCGGGTCCCTGTCCCTGTTGTTTAAGATGAACCAGTTCCTGAAGCAGTGTAGGTAGAATGGTACAATGGGCTAAAGCCGCTAGGGCGTTGAGTTTGCCAATTGATGTTCAGTAAGTGGGCACGCACTAACTGACATTCGTATTCCCAATGATGCTTATATTGTCCGTCATATCCACCTTCGGACTAGTTGGCGGCAGATTCAGTCGAAGAAATGAATACCTTGACAGCTCAATCATTGTAGAACCCCAAGTTCATCACCAACGGTCCGTGCTATAATCCAAGAGAGAGGCAACAGGACAGTATCGGTTGGTGAAGTATGGGGCTCGGGACGCCTTTGACCGAAACTCAACTGCTTCATTCGTGTGGCTCTGTCGCAGACGATACCTTTGCTTCAACAACGTCTGCCCCCCGATTCACGTATCTCCGGGATACATGTCAGGCGGCCGTATTCGTGTAAGTCGGTGCTTGAGCCTTGAGCTGTCAGTACGAAAGGGATGAAATCCGACGGACGCTGTGGCGATGGTCAACCGACACCAATGATGACCCCCATAATATAGAAAAATCTCACCTAACGGGCGAACAGTCGCTCAAAGGCTACCTCTTGTAAACAATAAATCGCAAAGAAAGGACAGAGGGGAGATCTTTACAGAATCACGAATTCGATGGCTGCTCGACTGTTGGATCAGCAAGGAACTTGTGAGAGGCACGTCTACCAAGGCTGTGAGGCTCGCTTGAAAAAGGGGGGGAGAATTGGCACCAGTCCAGCTTGAGCTTATGAGAGCTAAGGCAGATTCCATCAGAATGAAGCATATCCTCGGATCTCAACAGAGTCGCTCAGTTGCCTTTGACTTTCCCATGCGTCAGGCTAGCTATGATGGGCCATTGTCGGGAGGCGATGTGAGGCTGATAGGTGGCATCGACGTGACATGTGTAAGAGCGTGTCGGTTGGTTAATGAGAGTGTCTGACTGAGTAATACTATGTGGTAGGTGGCACAGTGCGGGTAGCAAATGCCGTGGCCTAATAAAAGAGAGCTACAGGTGGCTCTAATTAGTAGCTTGATGTCGTGGGGGCTAGAATCTTCCCTTGAGCCTCTTTGCCTCTTTAGCCTCCCATGAAAGCCTTGCTGCTTGTTCCTTGATCTCTCCTTTTCCTGTCCCTGTCCATGAATTCTCTACAATGTGCCAGATTCGCATCCGCTTTCTCCCCCGTCAGCATATGGGCCTGACCTACAAGTCATCGTCGACACTTGATGGTACACCAACACCCACCACCACCCCGAGCCTCTTCCCCCAAGTCTCTCCGATACCCGCGGACACATATAAATCTATACTTCTCTCCTCCGAATCCCAGAAAAGAGTAGGACTAGGAGGCTCTCAGAACGAATGACCATGCGTCATATTCCTGTTCTTTGACGTGCAGCATCTCATGGTACTGGGTACGTAGAGGGAAAAGGCGGTGAAGCATCTCACTGTACTCGGTACAAAAGCAGCCGTTACAACTGACAGGAACGGATAGTGCTCGGCCTTGAAGTTCCGGGCTTGTGGCTTTGTGGCTTTCCGCTAAGAAAAGAAGGAGAGCTCCTACAAACATGGCAATGGAAATGTTGAGGACCCCATGTGAAAATGGAACAACAAGTCCAAGTCATCGTACATGTATCAAAGGAGCTACCCACCTGAAAGAAGCACTAAAGCAAGAGCATGCAGAGTCAAGACAATTTGGTCTTCCCAGTGGCCCACACACACAGATGAGATGACCCAGTCTTCCAAGTGCTAGGATGCACAATCACAGTCGCAAAGACTGGTCAAGGTTGAAGCCTCCCCCCGAGTCCCAAGTCCCAAGTCCACAGTTCGACCGACTACAGACAGCTACGAGTTCAAACGCCTCCCTCCCTTGATCGGCGATGCGCATGGTGCATGCATGGGCGACTCCGTAGCGTGAGCTACGACCCACGCCCACCCCCGACACGACTTACGAGCATTACTCGTATATTGACCTTCCTCCACCCTGGGTACTGCCGAGATGGAGGAGGCTACTGGGGCCGAATGACCTTCTCAAAGTTGTCCTATTCATGCGTTCAGGATTGCTGAAATGTTTCGTACTGCAGGAGCTTTCTGTCGGCGATGGCATTCCCTCAAACTAATGTATGAACCGTCCTTGATAAGGAAGCCCATGGGTTTCCCCCATCGTCGCAAACACCCCATCTCAGCTGAGTCGAGTGGCATGCAGTGACTCGCAGGCTGCAGCGGCGTCAGGGTACAGGTCAGACGCCTTAGCTACCAGTACTCGGTACTCGTCGTGCCCGCTCTTGCCACCTGCGTCACGGATTGGGTGCCCAGGTGCCCAGCCTATACAATACTACGACAGGACCCCCTGGTGCTCTGGTGGCCCCTGTTCGGTCTGCTCGGTGGCTGGCTGGATGTACGAGTCGATTGAGGATTCGGCCAGCTCATGAACCACCCCCAATTTGTGGTTGTCCTAACCCATCCAGCTATCCAGCTCGAATCCTTTGCCCTCCCCCTAAGTGTTCTCGATTGTTCATGCCTTGACACCTGAGCAATGCACTTACTTACTCGTATGGTCGTCAGGGTCGAGACAAGAAGATTTCCCAAGCAAATTCCTTCTGCCAGATCCGTCCAAGTCGGGAAGAAGCGGTTGCGGTTGAGCGAGGTTATGCCATCCTTTCCAGGAGACGCAAGCTTGGGTGGCATACCTGGCGGCTACTCGTACCCTTTTTCCTGATTACACACAGGTCCCTCGCTCTACGCTCCTGATATCAGCCAACTGTGACCGTCGATATTGACATCCACAACACCCACTAACCCACTAACCCACCCCTCTCCTCTTAGTTCCCATAAGCTTTAGTTTCTTTTCATACTGATCAAGCACTCGTGACCCTCTGGCGGGGACTGTAGCAAACATTCTGAACCGGGCCGGGTGAGTCCACCCATAGTGGAACAAACCATATCGTCTCGTATCGTGTGGCATCGAATCGGGTCGTATTGCTGGATGGATGGGGCAGGCCCACGAGTGACTGAGAGCGAGTCCCAAATCCAAGTCCAAAGTACATTTTTTACTTTTTTCAAGAATCCTCTTCTCCCTTTCCCTTTCCACTTCCCCTTCCGCTCCCGATCACAAAACATAGTATCCATCAGGCACCGGACAACGGACACCGGACATTGCACACGGGCTCGGATCGAGAAAGACGGATATCCAGGCACGGGTAGATGGGCAGATGGGTACCTACAGCAGGTACTCTTTTGTAGATCGCGACCAGATCTTCTCAAGGACCAAACACAAACACAGGCACAGGCATGGAAAACTAAAACGAAAAGCACCTGAATACCTTAGGTAACCTACCAGCCTACCTAGGTAAAAGGAAAAGAGACAAGAAAAGATAAAAAAGAAACTCTGGAAAGAAAAACTTGACTTTGTGCCAACTTTGACCTAATATCTATACACTTACCTTGTACGAGTTAAGTCGACTACCTCAACCTCAACCTCAAACTCATCAAACCGACCTATCAACCTTTCGTCGGGATGGATGTGATATACAAGCACACAAGCACACAAGTCTGTGACTGACTGCCAAGTAAACTCTGAGTTACAAGCACGACGGGGACTGGGGACTGGGGACTGGGGACTGTGGCCGACTAGGAACTCAAAATCCGCCACTTGGGTGGGTAGATGGTCGCTCGCCGATTCTACTCTGTTCAAATGTTTGCTTCTCTTCTTCTTACAATGAGACTCGTGCTCCCCGAGGACCGGAAGGGGGGGGGGCGCGCGAGTCAAAATCACGATCCACGATTCCACTCACTTTCACTCGGACAACGCTCAATCACAACCCTCCCCTGCCCCTCGTAGATCACGATCGAAAATCACATCCCATGTCCTTCTCGGCTAGTGGTTGGCTGGCCGGCCTGCCCACCATCTCCTTCTCTTTTAGCCGGTAGATGTGGCCAGGCCAGGCAATACCAGGCAGGCAAGCCCAGGTTGGTTGCTTTGCGCCATGACTAAACTGACTCCCCCTCTCTGGTGCCTCCAGCAACAGAAGACAAGGGTGCATCTGGGGGGCGTTCGAGGGCGTGTCTTCACGTTCCGGGAAAAGGGCCGGGACAAGTACGAGTGAGTAGGAAGAAGATACCCACACACACCTCTCCTCCTCCTCGTCTCTGGGGGGGTCTCCTTGAGGCTCATGCCGACCAAGGAATGAATGGATGGAAGCCAGAGAGTGCAGGACGCCAATACACCCCCTATCCAATGGCGTCGAAAATGCAAGGTCTAGACTTCGTTGTTATACTTTGCTATGCTTTCCCCGGGTACCAGAAGTTGAGAATACATCTTCTTGCAAGGGAACAAAAGCCCGAGGGGAGATGGAACACTAGCGGTCGATTTTCTGGCTCATTGAGCAATCAATAGATGTGATCAAGACCCGCCAGTGGCTACTCTTGGGATGATGGCCAGCATCCATCTGAAATAGCGTGTGAAAAACAAAAAGCAAAAAAACAAAGTGGACGAGACAAACTCACCTGGCCATCTATCCCGACCTGGTTTCAAAGTGCGGATTAGAAGCATAGCAATGCCACATACCCCCATAACCAACCTTGGTCCATCAATAGGGAAGCTTACCTTCTCCCAAGGAAATGCAACCTTTTGCTCCAATCGACCATAGAAATCGGGCGTCAGGCTGTGGCGACAAAGGGTTGGGACAGACCGCCTCTTTCATGTGCAATTCTAGGCGACGCGACAGGGGGGAAGGGAAGCTGTCCACGGGGTCCGTCCGCCTGACACATGCTCACAAGTATCAAAGTCCTGTACAGTCATCGTTCGCTGCCGGGATAGAGTAGAGCCATGGCGCCGTGATTGATCGAGTCGTATTGGGGTG